TAATTGATGGTGGCAGTTTCGGAGCCCCCAACATCGCGGCCGCCGGTCTTTCTCCAATATTTTCCGTCCTGCTCAAGCGCTTCGGGCCTCGTACAACCCTGATTGGATGGGCCGTGTTTACAGCAGTGATAATATCACTTGGCATTATCTTCGTTCGCCCTCGACGTACAAGTAAATCGGAAATGGAGGCTGCAGCTCGACAATCATCGTCTACTACTAGAGTTTTCAGAAAGCCAGTGTTTTGGCTCTTTGTTCTTTCGATGACGCTGCAAAGTCTGGCAAACAATTTACCGGCAAACTACCTGCCCAGTTACGCCACGGACCTGGGTGTCTCGCCGGAGAAAGGCGCCTTGTTGGTCACATTCCTGTCGCTGTTTGGGATCATCGGTCAAATCTCGCTGGGAGCCTTGACGTAAGTAAAATGGACCTCAAGTCTACGTATGACTCGTTGCTAATAAATAGATACAACAGAGATGCGATCGGACCTTTGATACCCATGCTGCTGAGCACCCTCGTCAGCAGCTTTGCAGTCTTCGTTGTATGGGGATTGGGTATATACTACTGGAATATGGTGATCACTTCGATCTTATTTGGGGCATTTGCCTTTAGCTTCATGGTTCTGCGAAGCCACATGGCGGCAATTGCGGTTGATGATCCCGAGCGGCCGGCCGAGGAACTCTTCGTTTCCGGCATTCTCCTATTTACCAGAGGTGTCATAGGTGTGGCGTCAGGCTACATAGCTGCGGCTGTTCTTCAAAACAGCGAGAGTATTGGAGTACAGCCTGGGTACGGCGCTGGAAAGTGGCGATCATTCATCATTCTCCTGGGGACGACAATGACCGCAGCTACCCTAGGAGCCTTTGGTCTATTAAAGAAACGGAAGACAGCTTAGAAACTTGCAATTTCCTCCCCAACGATCAAAATATCAAATCGATTCAAGCATCAGTAGATATACTTGAAAGTGGTATTTGAAGCCTGACTTCGCAATGGGTGCTCATAGAACACAAATCTGATTCCGGTGATTAAATGGATTTGACAGCATATCGGGCAATCGCTCGTACTTCGCCAGATCCGGGAAATGAAATCGCATATTTCCTTTCTAGCAAAACTCTCGAAGGTCCTCCCTATGTTTGTCTTTGAATCAAGACGATCGCATACTTCAGACGTCGATTGCTCATTCACCAAGGTAGTTGAGAATTCAGGTTTGGTTTTTAGAAGACCTTGCAGCTTGGCAATATTTTGGTGAAAACAACCCGAACATATAGCGTTGAGCGTATACTTCTAGTCTACAATTTCAAAGTAGAGATGGTGCCAGTTTCTTTGTTACACTGGCCAGCGCGTCTGTATCTCGGTGGCCATGAATGGAATAGTACTCGCAGTTTTTCACAAGAGTTCCCTTCCCAGTCTCTGCGTCAAAGACGTAGCAGCCATTCTTGACAATATTGGGCGGCGTGTAGAGATGGAGCGAAACAGCAAAATCATTGCTGTTGTTCCACATCTTGTGCACACCTTGGTCGTCGCTCATGTAGGCCACATGGTTCTCTGTGTAAACTGATTCCAAAGCCACATGCATGCTATCATTGGTATCATTCAAGGCGGCTGAGTCGGTTCCCCGGTTGGAGTCCTGAGGAAAGTCGTAGCGTGTCTCCGTCAGGCTTCCTTTGAGGATCTTCATCAAGCAGTGCGCGTTGCTATGACTGTGGATGGGGCTTCCCTTTCCGGGTGTCCAGACGAGGACCAACTATATCAACACAAATTAGAAACAGACGAGCATCTTTCATGATCACAGGTCTTACCAAGTTACTCTTGCCGTTACCCTCATCTACGAGGTTTCGGGTATATGCCATGCTAGGATTGGCAAATGCAAAAGCTCCCCATTCTTTCTCATCGCTGGTATAATTCTTCATGAGATCCATCAACAAGTCAAGGTCGATATCATCACAGGTCAGCCCCGAAGAACCGAGAGCGTCTTTAAGAGCTTTCACAAGCTCATCGAACTTGCCAAGATATTTGAGGCTAGTTGTGTCTTCAGAATGCGGCATTGTAAAAAGCTTGGACAAGTGTTGACGCTAGTCAAGATCAAGAGGGTGCATGAAACGGACGAGAAGGCGGCAAATATAATCTTCTGTTTTCAACCTCTGCATTTAGTATATAAGCCATGCTCCCAGGTACATTTTGATACCTCGAGATCAAAATTAGCTCTAGATGTTACGGAAATTCCAATCTCTAGTCATTTCTTGAGTCAGCCTAGTTGAGCTGCCTGCTACCGGCCTGTTCTCAGTCGGGGGCTGACGTGCATAATAATGGTGGCAATTCTGTGATTATCCCGATAATAATTTGGTTATCAACTCGCTTCGTTTTCATATTTGAGTCGAGCAGGGAAGCGGAAGTAACCAGTGATGTGAAAGTGATTGCGCCGAGAAGTGGCTATGACTCCATTCCGATCCTTCCCCCACATCCTCACCGGGCCATCCTCTCCCTGCAATGCAACGCTTACTTTCCCGTTCCGCCGCGTTTTTGTCTTAGCGGCGAACGCCTCCCAAACTTTGTATTTGCACTTTCCTTTTCCAGTCATAAGTTTGTCGTGATTGTAAGACAGATGAACATGCGGATATCGGGTACCGATTGCCGACAGCTCCTGAGGGAGTGAAAGCGCTCCTGTGCGACAGCCGCGTGGGTACTTGAGAATACAAGCTCAACGCTCCCACATAAGAGTCTAGCCCGGGTGAGACACCGCCCCTGCCCACCCCCTCGCCGAGCGCTCGCAGCCGCCTTGTTCCGACTTTCAGCCTCGGCTGGACCTTGGCGCCTAGTGATACATGTACGATATTCACCAGACGAGAAGTTGAACATCATAGGCTTGAAGATAAGCCCATAGAGCGTAGGGATTCCCCCAAAAGTTCCGTAATCTAGGCAGTCAGCGGACGCAGCCGTGAGGCGCATGTTGCTAGCACCTACGATCTAAGACAAGGAGCCCGAGAAGGCATCGGAATACATCAAGGGTACATTGTAAAAGAATGGAAGATGTATCTTATGGCTTGAAGGGGAGACAATATACAAATTCGAGATGGTTGTCATGTCATTGAAATGTACCCAGCTGAGGCCGAGCGAACAAGATCATGGCCTGATTTCAGGTAAGACAAAGTAGATTGGAAGATGCATAGACATAATTGGTCTCTGCGACGGTTATAGGATCAGCAAGGCGTTGAAATGACGCGTAATCCAGTGTAGCTATACGTAATATCGGAGTTGAGCAAAATTGTCGGCCGCGAAGAAAGACGATCCCAAGATTGCGACTCATTATCATATAGTTATATGAACTACCTATCCAGCGAGCCCGCCTACCTTGAAACCTACTCCTCTGCACCGTCAACAGTCGTAGTGCGTTTACAACATCGCATCTGATTCCTCTCACCTCTTCAAGATGACCGTGGCTGGTTCAAAAAAGATGGATGGTGCTGCTGCCCCTCATGCACCGACTGCGAACCTAGATACCGTGGTTTTTTCCAAAGTACTAGACCGCGACCCAGCGACCATTGACAAGATTATCTCTGCCTGCGAGAATGTTGGCTTCTTCTACTTGGACATTTCGGACCAGTATTCTGCTACAATGCTAGAGAACCTTGACAGGTTGAACATTGTCATGAAGGACTGGTTCGACCAGCCAACAGCCGCGAAGCGCAAAGAACTGGCTATCAGCATGGCATCTCATGGGTTTGTCAAAGCCGCCCTTCTAAGCTAAGTACCCGTTGATTTGCTTGTTGAAGCTAATTAAAATGTTGCCCTTAGATACAAGCCAATCGGTTCACAGGCTGGGACGCACGGAGGTCGAGATGGCTGGGAAGTTCTTAAGGTAAGTATCGGTAGGACATGTGGTCACAGACAACGACGATTCTAACAATTGTACAGACGGGTAGCTTTGAACTGGCCGGTCGATGGGGCTTACCGCCAGTGGTAGAAGACAACCTCCAGACATTCATCTCTTTCCAGAGCCAGTGTCACTACATTACTCGAGTGCTCCTTGACCGTATCTCGAACGCCCTGGGGCTGAAGGGAGCGCAGAGCCTCAACCACTTCCACAGAAGCGACTGCCCCTCCAAGAGTGCCCTTGCATTCCTGCATTATATCCCCATGGATCCAACTGGAGGTTATGCCGGACATAATGTTCACACAGACTATGGCACCTTGACACTTGTCTTTGCGCCCCAGTGGGGTTTGCAAGTCCTTTCAACTCCCGAAATATCCTCACCGTCCTCAGCCTCCTCCTCGGCGTCCCACGATTCAGACGAAAGCCTCGATAGTGGCTACCACAGAGGACATAGTCAGGGCCACGCCAACAATGAGCCCCTGAAAGAAAAGGCGGAAACACCCATGGAGTGGCAGTATGTCGAGCCACGTCCCGGCTGCGCGGTGGTCAATGTGGCTGATGTGCTACGGTTCTTGACGCGCGATAGACTGAAGTCGGCAGTGCATCGGGTCCTTCCGTTGCCCGATGTGGATCGCTATTCTGTCACCTACTTCCTAAGACCTAGTGATGATGTTGAGTTTATCGATGGAGAAGGTCGGCTGACAAATGTCATGGATTGGTACGACCGCAAGAATAACATGTATGAGGCTTCTTATGGGAATCAGGATCGGTCTTTGCTCATTGGCGGGTTGTATAAGGAGGTGTAATGTTTCTTTAGAAGGATTGTTCTCTGTTCGACTTCACAGCTTCCCGAACGGGTATGTACCAAGTACGTACTTGTGTCAAAGTTGTGCTTCTTCTTTGCAATCTTCTGTTCGCTCTCTCCGTAGCCTCAGGTCATCTAACGTGACTGTATGTTCTCATCAATACAGTAATTGATGATTGTCGTCAAGTAGAAGCTTGCATGCCAAACACCTTGGTACCAATCATCATCTTAATGACATATATACACCTGACATAAGTACCAGAATACTCCATGGTGAAACAAGTAGTCCTATTTGACCTCTTGGAGCCTGACCAGGCGGCATCCATGCTACCCCGAAGGTACGTGTGCATGAAGCTTACGAAGTTCGACAGCTTCCTGGCCCTCGGCTCGATATCGATCATCCGCTTCCGTTCCTGGCTTGAAGATAGGAAGAATCACTGTCTCGCTATCATGATCGCTGTTGATACTTGTTGCTCGTACATTCGAGAGGTTGGCACTCTGAAAGACTCCGTCGGATTTTACGTAGTGTGCAGCAGAGGGATGGTAGGATGCAAATGATTTTGCAACATCCCGTATCAGTACTCTCAGTACCGGTATGGAGGCTGCAACAATCGTCGCATTGGGTTCTGCGTGAATCCAAATGCTCAAGACGGCAAGCCGGCGAGAAACTGCGAGAGATAGCTTTGTCAATATTCACTTGCGACTCAAGTTAAGACACATAGGAACAAAACTGACACTCAGTTCCGACAACTCTCGTGACTTCAAGAGCTTCCACAGCTTTGAGAACAGCAACGATTCCTGCCCTACCATTGTGATCAGTGACCCTGAAGATAAGGTAGGTGCCCCGAGTAGTTTGGCAGACTTGTTGAGGCAAAGAATGAGTGGTTATCTCACTTACAGCACACCGATACTCATAGCAATCGCGACGCCGGCTTTCTCCCGTTTGACCATTTGTAAGTCCCATACTGAGTAAATTGGAATCAGAGCTAGACCGAAATCTGTCACCGCGGAGACAACTATTCCCAATAAGACGTTAGACCAAGACAAGCCCAGCTTCAGTAGAAGTACTCACTAGACCCGATCATATTCATCCAGATGCCGCTGTTGATTGACCAGCACGAACCAAGTGAGAACGCGCTCTCAGCTCCACAAGTCGGTCTCCAGACCAAAATTGTGTGCACAAGGCACATTATGTCTGTCATGCAAGTGATCAGGATAATCACAGGACGCAACCATCCTGTCGTGAATCTCAGCAGGGTGAGGGCGAATGAGGTCTTGCTGAAAGCTAGGGAAAGCTTCATTGCATTGTCGGATGCCAAGTTTGCGGGGGTAATGATGGGCCCTGACAGAGTGGTAACTCGGTAACCAGATCCGAAAACGACTGTTTGGAGTGAGACCCCAATCATTAGGAACATCCATCCTATAATGAGGAGATAATCGTCCCACCACATCATTCTAGTACGAACTGATCTACAGTAGATTCGGAGCACGAGAAAGATGGTGGACGTTGATGCCATTACCCATATTGATGCGAGCACTGTCGTCGTCAAAGATGGGTCTCCGGAAGGCAAGGGGTACTGTGTTGGCATGGTTAGCTACACTATTCTTGAAGGTTCCACGGCATAGATAATTGATAGAGGAAGGAAGTAAAGGTTAGAATGCGCTCTGGTCCTAACCCTCGAGCACACGGGTTACTTTATGGGGGCGGGCGTAGTACTCAAGTCTTCTTTTTCAGGTAGCTTTAACATTGCCTGCGACCTCTAAGGGACGTGTTGGTTTGCTAGCCTGATTTCCGACGTCTCAGAACCTGGCGAATTCTTTCAAGGGTGTCGTGTTAGCAACTGAGCAAGGATGTCCAATCTGCAAGTACTGTCGAGAAGAGATTTCGTATTCCCTCAGAGCTATTAAGCCTCTCATCTGTATTGGTCACAAAGAATTCCGTGGAAGTTATCGTAATAAATCCAGCGCTGGCAATGGAAAGGAGCCACTTATACTGGAGTAAGACCGCAGAAATTATGACGAGACAGCAAGATAAAGAACGAAAAGGGGCATTGTTGGAGTTAAGTTCGTGATTGCGCTTTACACCAACGCGACTGGCTTCCTACGCCCGCCCGAGAATGAGAAAAAACTTTTGTTCATCCAGCAAGTCCACCTGAGTCTCAACCTATTGCCTGTACAGTCAATACTTAGACGCCTCCTGGTTGAATTATCCATTTTAAGCCCCTTATACTACTACACATCCTGACACTCCCTTCGTCGAACACTGCAACAGACTGCGGAGGTTGAGGCTATCTTCTCACCAGTCGCAATTCTTGATATCGCACATTCGACCAATATTCTCAGCAACGGAGGCGTATCTTGGGTCACTGATCAATAGCAGGTCCATGTTGAGATTACGCCTTACTCTCTTCCGGTGAAAAGGTCGGGTCAACTTGATACTGTTGGTTTGGCCCGGAGAAACTTCCTCTCTGGGTCCATGTTTGGTCAGGCAAATGTCCGTACATGCATAATGAGGATGTCCCCAAAGTCTGGATGGATTCAGTCCCCGCTGCGCCGCAGCATTTCTGCTCGGCGAATCTGTTGGTCCACGAGGATACGCAAGCGGTGGCCAATGAAAAGGAAAGGAAGCATCGCTTAATCTAACAACCAACAGTAAGAAACGGATTAGGCTTAGTCTATGTTTGCCTGCATTCGGAGTGAATCCGCGAAGGACTAGCTCAGCAGAGCTCGCCCAGCTGCTGTGCCGTTTCCGATATTTGAATTTTGGAAATGTAACAGAAAATACGACGCGTACAGCGATGCAAGATACGCTGTCCAATAGATTGCAGTGATTTACGAAAGGTCGTGGCTACTGACAAGTGCTGGAAACCGAAAGCGAATGACTCCGCTTGACAGCCCTTATTATGATCGAGCATCGGTGCCGATGAGTTTACCGAATGCTGATCGATGGATGTCTTAAGAAGACAGACATCGGCCACGTCGTTTGATTTGGGTTTTGCCAAGATCTCTTCCATCAACGAATGTGATGCCTTCAACGGTGTGGTACACCGCTGCAGCGGTTCTATTCTTTGTTCCAACATTTGCAGCATCCGCGTCTTTTGGACCTGCTAGCGGCATTCGGTCCAATGCTGCATCCCAACTCACAGGGGTCTGTCAGCTTCTAGATGTGGACGTCTTGGCCTTGAGACTAGGATGCTGACCGACTCATCTTGCAGTGCGATATCCTCATCCGCGCTGGGCTCTCTGGCCAAATTTTCTTTTCGAACGACACGGAGTACGCCGTCACCATTCAGTCTTACTACTCTGGCGATGTTCAAGACGTTCGACCTTCATGTATCCTCAAGCCCACGACTTCACAGCAGGTTTCGGACGCCATCAAGTCACTTAACAGCGAAGCCTTGGGCTGTTGGACGGTGGCCATACGTAGCGGTGGCCACTCACCATTCCCGTCGAATAATGCTGCCAATGGCGTTACCATCGATCTCGGTGGCATCAATTCCATTAGCTATATGGAGAATCCTGATTCGCCGGGACACGGTGTCGCAGCGCTCGGCCCCGGTGGGCGCTGGAGTGAAGTCTACTCTGCCCTCGAGGAACAAGGGGTGATGACAACGGGCGGACGCGAAGGTCATGTTGGTGTGGGAGGGTTCTTGCTTGGCGGAGGTAAGGCGAAATCTCAGCTGAATCACGAGGTAATTAACTGAAACATTGGTAGGCTTCTCATGGTATTCTGCGAAGTACGGCCTTTCCGCCGATAATGTTTTGAACTACGAGGTACAGATATTCCTGATGAGTGCGGTTCAAATCGTGTGCTAACAGCGTATTTGCGCAGGTGGTGCTCGCTAATGGTAGTCTCATTGAAGCGAACGCGACGGCGCATGCGGACCTCTTCAAGGCTCTGAAAGGTGGCATGAACAATCTTGGTGTCGTGACAAGGTTCGACCTGCGAACTTTCCCTGCAAATGACATTTACGGTGGTATCGTCGCATTCGCATATACAGACAAGGAACCCGTCGTGAAAAGCTTCATCACTATGGTCAGAGAGAATGAGGAAAATCCTGCCGAGAGCGGATTTGTTTCCTTGTCATGGGGTCCTGGGCGAGATCCTTCAGTCGCCTTCATTACCGCCAACGTTGATGGCGTCAGCAAATCGTCCTCCTTCGCCGGACTCGCGGACTTGGGGCCTCTTATTGACACCAGATCGGCGGTCCCGAACTCAGAATTCGTCAAGCAGCTCCAAGGCACACTCGGTTTGTACAATGTGTGGTTTACGCAGAGCTTCCACGCAACCATGGAGATGGGCAGGAAAGTTCTTGAAGTTTTCGAGGCTCTCATCGCGGACCTGGAGGGAAAACTCGACGAGAATGCCACGATAATATTTGTGATGACTCCCCTCTCAACCAACTATGCTAACAACGGGCCTAATATCCTCGGATTAAACGAAGAGCTGACAGAGCCATCCGTCGTGCTTCAAGTCGAGTGCTTGCTTCCAACCCCAAATGACGAGGCATTATTGACGGGAAAGTTTGAGGCAGTCATAGATGAGATTTCTGAGCATGCTGCAAGGACAGGACAAAGCACAATCTTCAAGTACATCAACTACGCACACCAGACACAGGACCCACTTCAGTCGTACGGAGGCGATAATCAGGACTTCTTGGAGAAGGTGGCTCAGACTTATGACCCCAACGGCTTCTTCCAACATCGGGTGTCAGGAGGGTTCAAAATTTCCAAAAGCACTAGAGCCTGACTGACAGATGAGGATTATCGAAAGATTTGCATGCATATACCCCGAACTCAGTGCCTCGCTCAAGTCATCTAATTTTAACACCTCATTCCCTCTCTAGATATCAGTAACACTCATGAACCATTCTTTCCGTGACACCTCTTCGCGATACCTTCACGTGCACAGCTGGGCGTAAGGTGCCTTGATTATATTCGAAGTCTTCTCTACAACAAAATCTTCCACCGTAAAAAGCAGTGAGTGCAAGTTTTAGAGACGTTCTTGAATCTTGTTGGCTCCAAGGCCCACCAATTCTGTGGAGCTGGATTTACGGCCACAGCGGACGCTAACTGATAGGTATGAGGATCTCTTACAGTCTGTGGCTGAATGTGCATTAGCAGGGCGGAAATTAACGTCTGACGTCGACATGATTCATTACGAGAACCGTTATTGTTGGAGGACTAATGTGCAGAATGGGCCTCAATTCTTCCCGAACTCGAAATCTTCTTTTGATTCAACCAGGATGAGCCAAGACGACTTGTGATTTTGTATCAAAACGAGTGCAGCACAAAATTCAAGCCATCTTGATGCAGACTTTGCCGATATGAGTGCCGCTGGTGAGATACTCAAAGGCAGCGATGATCTCGTCTCTACTGGATCCGAACTCCCTCTCGACAGGAACCTGCAATTGACGGGTGACAACGTAACGGGTGACTTCCTCCAAGTGCTGCCGCGATCCCACCATGATACCTCGCACAATCGCGCCTTTGGACAAGGCGAGTGCTGCGACGTCAGGCATCTTTTCCTGCGGGCATGACGCAAGGAATCCAATCACGGCGATGGACCCCCCGTACGCCACGGCATTGATGCTCTCGGCAATCGTACCAGCACCGCCATTCTCAAATACGTAGTCGGCGCCCTGGCCCTCTGTAATTCTTAAGACATCCTCCGACCACTTTGGGGTCTTCTTATAGTTGATCACATGGTCAGGGCCGTAGGTCTCCTTCACTTGTTGCAACTTCGAATCTGAGGAAGAAGTGATGATGGTGGTTGCTCCGGCTGCTTTGGCGAGGATGAGGCCGGTAATGGAAACACCACCAGTTCCTGGGTGGCAAGTCAGGTCTTTGATGTATTCTTCAGGGCAAGTGGGATTGAATATAAATACCAAGAAATAAGACAGTCTGGCCAGGCTTGAGAGCTATGTTGCCATAGAGAGAATTCCAAGCAGTTGTTCCAGTGCAGACCAGCGCCGATAGCTGGGAGTAGCTCAGCTTAGTCTCTTTAGGCACCTTGACTAATGCAGAGCTTGGAAGAACAATGTACTCCCGTAGGGCACCATCTACACGGCCCCCAAGACTGTGATTCCAGTCTTTCATGGCGCCATAAAGTGTGCTCAGATCAAAAGACGAGATCACTTTGTCGCCATGGGCGAAGTCGTCAACGTGGCTTCCCACTTCAACAACATCGCCAGAGAGATCGGAACCGGGGACCACGTTGTCCTTGACGGGAAACGGGTACTGTCCGGTCGCAACGGCGAAATCGCGGAAATTGAGAGCGACACTGCGAATGCGGACCAGAACTTCGTTCGAGGAGGGTTCTGAGATTGGCTCCGTCCCAACAACGAGGTCGTTGACGGATGTGCGCTGAGGAAGTCTGAAAATCTGCTGAGTTGCCATTTTGAAGGTGTAGTTGTGATGGTTTATCGTGGAGTTTGGTGAATGAGCAGGATGTCTGGACTCAAAGTGAATGAGGTTGTTGACCGAGAGCTAGCAAAGCTTATGAGAGCAGGCTAGC